CACCGCAGATTGATTACTTCGTCATTAATTGCGCTTGATTTGAATTCGCATTAAAAGAAGAAGAGAAACTATTTGCGACATAATTTGGTATTGAGCTTGGCTATTTATATCTTCGAAGATCACATTTTCGGTTCAGATTCTAGTTGAGGTTTATGCACAACTGCATACTTGTTTCTGTATATCCAGTGGCTTGGTTAATCTGGAATTTGTGTATTGATTTTTTTTAGGTGATGGAAATTATAGTTTTCATGGTGCTGCGAGGCACTTAATTGCTCGAGAAGAGCCTCGACCGAGGTAATATCGTTTGGGGAATTCAAGCTGTTACTGGTATGTTCTTACTATCTGTGTGATGATAGCTGTGTTTTTATATCTCAAAGTTTGGAATTAGCTCGAGGATACATGACGAATGATGATCTTGAGAAAGCAATGAAGGATTTCACCAAGAGATGCAGCAAGATCTCAAGATTATACAGGTAATTACTTGGCTGATTGATGTGCCCAACGGAATAATCGTTTACAAATCAGTAGCTGGCATTTTCCCAGAGTCAGTATTCTTGATTTGATATGAATTTTTTTATGGTGTTGTTGATTTTGTTCTTTATTTCTCTCTTTGAGGGTTTTCTGGAACGTGCTTTCAGCATCGGAAAGAGTGTCACTGGCTTTCCTTTGGTAATGCACTCTTAGCTCTCAAAGTTGATTCTTCTTGTTTTACAAGTGCGTCGTAAGATCATTATCGATAATGCCTTGTTTTGCTTGTTTGTGGCTTTGCCTTTATTAGTGGGTCATAGAGATTTCAGACAGGCCTGGAGAGATAGAGGCTGAACCTGCATTCAAGGTTATAATTCTGCTCAGTTATTTATGCCTATACATGCAATCTTTGAGATATTTTATCACCACTTATGATTTTTACTGCTTAAAGCTTGGATGACTCATTTATGCTTTAATAATTCGATTGGATTCCATTCTGATAACTGGCTGGTAGTGTTCTTATTTTCCTGGAATCTAAATAGTTGAATTACTTGTCACGCAGTACATTGGAAATGTACATGGAGATGAACCTGTAGGGCGTGAGCTCTTATTACGTCTTGCAAACTGGATTTGTGATAACTATGGGAAGGATCCATTGGTAAGTGAGTTTTGCTTCTTTCAATAATACTTCCAAAGAAAAATGTTCTGCTCATATACTGATATTATCTATCTTGTTATGCAGGCTAAAATGATTGTAAATAATGTTCACCTTCATATATTGCCATCATTGAATCCAGATGGCTTTTCAGTCAGGAAACGTAATAATGCAAACAATGTAGATCTAAATCGCGACTTCCCTGACCAGGTGATTTGTCTGACAGTGATTTTCAAAGTCATAAGTAGCATTTTCATCCATGCTCGGAGTATTCATGATTGCTGTGATTTGCATGATGGTAGTTAAATTTGGTTGAATTTTATTCGTAGTCATTAGTCACGTTTAGTTTGCTTAACACATACCTAAATGTTGCAGTTCTTTCCCTTAAATGAAGACTTGAGTTTGAGGCAACCTGAAACTACGGCAGTTATGACTTGGTTGAGAGATATACGATTCACAGCGTCGGCTACTCTGCACGGGGTAATTTTCCAGACATTTTTCTGTATCAGGCTTGTGGAGACTATCTCGTCTCAAATTTGTCCAGTTTGAAAGATTACTTTGAAGAATCTCTGAGGGGTTTGATTAAATATTAAGTAAAAAATCATGATTCGATGTGAAGAAAATATTTGTTAAACTGTGGTTTGTTACAGGGTGCCCTGGTCGCAAATTTTCCATGGGATGGTACGGAGGATAAGAGGTATTTGCTTCTGTTCAAAATGGTTTTGCACATAATACAAAGCAAAAATTATGCAATGCAAAATAATGTAGCTGTTCTGTATTTTTCTTGCAGGAAATACTATTATGGATGTCCTGATGATGAGACATTCCGGTTCTTGGCACGTATTTATAGCAAATCTCACCGTAATATGTCATTGAGCAAAGAATTTGAGGAAGGAATCACAAATGGAGCATCCTGGTATCACATCCGATTCACTTCCTTTTGCCTTCTCCAATATATGAGTTTCTTGGTTAATGCTTTAAGCAAAACGCTCTACAGGTACCCAATTTATGGTGGTATGCAGGACTGGAATTACATACATGGAGGATGCTTTGAATTGACTTTGGAAATAAGTGACAACAAGTGGCCTCCTGCATCAGAGGTCTATTCTTATATTCGTTTGTGTAAACTGGTTCTCTGTACATTGTAGGTAGAGGCTAACTAACAGAGTTCGCATCTCTTATTCAGCTTCCCACCATTTGGGAATACAACAGAATGAGCATGCTGAATCTTGTTGCAAGCCTAGTGAAGGTATTACCTTATGAATCTTTTTTCTTTTAGAACCTAACATATTGTTGTATCGTTTAGATTGAGCTGCTAGAGATTAATTTAAATTTTAATGGAAGATTTTCTTCGGTTTAGACCTTTATTTACATTCTTTTACTTATTTTCTTTAATTTTTATCAATTACGCCCTCAACTCCTTACCTTAGACAGGAGTTCACGGACGGATCTTTTCCTTAGACAAGGGAAAGCCACTTCCTGGGATTGTTGTGGTCAAGGGAATTAACTATACGGTATATATTCATACTAACCTTGTTTTCTAAAATTTCCTTAATCGATATTCTGAGAATCTTGGTAGCTCTTCTGTACTCATTGTAATCCTTATGCTATTCAGGTTAAAGCTCATCAAGCGTACGCAGACTACCATCGCTTGCTTACACCTGGACAGAAATATGAAGGTCTGATGTTCTTTCCTTCACATTCAGCATCAAATACGTGTGATTATGTTGGTATTAATACGAGGACCACAGTATAGAATTGAGTTACTTGCAATATCTATTTCAATTGAGTTTTTATTAGTGTGATATTAGAGCTCTTCACAGTCATAAGCTGATAATAACAATTATTACATGTTCGGTGGTTTTCATCTTATGCTTACAAATCAACATATTTTCTTTATAGTAGTAGACAGACCATTGCCCACTGTTATAAGCTGACGATGACAAAATATGATTTCTTTTTCTTTTCTTTCATCTCAAATCCTTTTCTTATTTATGATTACTTTGCCACAGTTTAAGTTTTCTTTACTGATTCGCAGTAACGGCGTCGTCTCCTGGATACAAACCGAAAACGACAAGTGTTTGGTTAGGTGAAAACGCAGTTACCGCTGATTTCATACTTATCCCAGAAGCAAGTTCCGGAGGCAAACTACTGAGAAGCAACTGTGACTGTAACTGCGGTCAGCCGCTTTTAACGCACTTTTTCACGGATACGTATAACGGAATCACGTTTACGCTTGTTGTGGTTGTAGCGTTCCTGTGTTTTTTGTTGCAAAGGAGAGTGAGATTTAACCTATGGAAGCAAAGACAATCCTCTAGAAGATCAATAACAATATGATGTATAGGTATAATTACACAACTTTTTACTTTAATAAGCAGAACCAGAATCCTACCCCCTTGAGCCCATTGTTCGTGTAGTTTGTTGCCGATTAAACATTTTATTTGAATCATTACTTTGAAAGAAAGAGTTGTACGTCTGTGTTTTTGTGTTCGATCTCATCTCTTGATATCAAATTATCTTAGTCCATTAACCAAAAAAAAAATAATAATTCAAGTTTGTTGGGATGTCCCTGTCCTCATGGATCTTAAATGTCTTGTACTATACGTCACGAGTGCAACATTGTCGCCAAAATTATGTCATAAGGATAAGGGACACTAAATCTTGTTGTATACCGAAGAAAATTCAACCTGATTAAAAGTGTTTGATTGTTTTTCTAAAGGCAAATAAAAAGTAAAAAAAAACGTTCACATATGACCGAAATTTCAAAGTCATACCTAAATTAAAAGATAAAAACCTTTTGAAGTACAAATCTATTTTTGCTGTTATTATACATAGCTTTCATTTAGATTTTCTTAATACTTTTATGGACATGGATTTTTTTTTATCCTTTTGCGACCTGACTTTATTTAGAAAGTAGTATTCTGTTTGTATTATAGAAAAAACCTTTCCTTTTTATAGTTAAATCATATCTATAAACTTTTGACCAAAAAAAAAAAAATCATATCTATAAACTATCATGCTGCTATATAATAGTGTTCTCATTTCATAACCATTTTTTTAGTATTTTTTTTCCGCTTCTCAACGAGTATAGTTGTAAAGTGATTTTTATTTTATTTCAAAAGAACAATCATTTAAATGAAATTTTCAGTCAATGCAATATTTTCAGAGGGAGTAATAAATTTTGCACATCTCGGACATTCACTGCGAGATAAAGGTTGACATTGACCTGTCACAACAACTGTATTACCTTTTTTTTAACAGAAAAAAAAAAACAACTGTATTATTTGCATTCGTTGACTTCGACCTTAAGCAATGACCGTCTGGTTACGCTGTTTGACTTACCGGCCATAAATATCCCACATGTTCATTCCTCATTGGCACGAAAAAACCGTCGGTCACGAAAACCGTTTTAAAAAACACCGTAAGCCCAAAAACCCAATTCGTATCACACACGGGACAAACAAACGACGAACGGTGAAATTACGTGTTTCCTTTATCCATCCATCTTTCTGGGTTTTTTTTTTAATTTTTAATTATTCTATATAACTAAAATACCCAGAAACGTAATTTCGTCGAGTTCCAACTTTCAATTCCCAGATAAATTCTTTTCCATATAAAGAGATTCCAAGATTTTTGTGGATAAAATCTTCTCTCTCAGAGAATCTCTTTTACTCCGTCGAATCTTCTCCACCTTTTTCCTCCTGGGTTTTCATTTCTCTGCAACAACAGAAGAATCTCAAATCTCTCTCTCTCTCCTCCCAAGAAAAAAGAAGAAATGGCGATCAAGACGAAGAGTAGTCTAATTCCGAGCTGTGCATCACCGGAGGATCTGAAACGCGTTTTGCAAACGCTAGGTTCGAGCTGGGGAGACGTGGTTGAAGATCTGGAGCGTCTTGAGGTTGTTCCGTTGAAAGGAGCCATGACGAACGAGGTTTATCAGATTAGCTGGCCTACCTTAGACGGCGAAGATGTTCACCGGAAAGTTCTTGTTCGGATCTACGGAGACGGCGTCGATCTTTTCTTTAACAGAGACGACGAAATCAAAACCTTTGAGTGTATGTCTCACCATGGTTATGGCCCTAAGCTCCTTGGCCGCTTCTCCGATGGTCGCCTTGAAGAATTCATCCACGCGAGAGTACGTTTCCTTCTTCTTCATCATCTCTTTTTTCCCATTTTCGTTTCTTCAAAAAAAAAAAAAAATTGATTTTGTTTTTCGGTTCCAAGGAAGAACAGAGGAGATAGAGTTTTTTAGTTAGTCGAATCAAAGTCTTAGGCTTTATTGTTTGTGTTTCAAGAAATCTCATGATCAAGAAAATATTAGAGAGGGAGATTTGTGTATATGACATAAATCTTTGTTGGTTTGGTTCGTTCACCAGACTCTTTCTGCAGGTGATCTCCGTAAAGCAGAAACATCTGATTTCATCGCAGCTAAGCTAAGAGAGTTTCACAAGCTTGATATGCCTGGTCCAAAGAACATTCTCCTCTGGCAAAGACTCAGGTAAAAAAACAGAAAAATATTACAAATCTCATTTCTTTATATAAAGCATCCTTTTTTTTTTCAAGCTAAATTTGTTTATCAAATTTTCAGGAATTGGCTCAAGGAAGCCAAGAACTTGTCTTCACCAATAGAGATTGATGAGTTTCGCTTGGAAGCTTTGGAAGGTGAAATCAACTTGTTGGAGGAGAGGTTGACTCGTGATGACCAAGAGATCGGTTTCTGTCACAACGATCTTCAGTACGGTAACGTCATGATTGATGAAGAAACCAATGCTATTACCATCATCGTAAGCTTTTTATGAGCTGAAACTTTTCCTCTCCATCAAGAAAGTGCTCTGTTTTCATCAGTCTTATGTATCGATTTTTGATTGCAGGACTATGAGTACTCGAGTTTCAACCCAGTTGCTTATGACATCGCCAACCACTTCTGCGAAATGGCTGCTAATTACCATTCAGACACTCCTCATATCCTTGACTACACTCTATATCCAGGTTCATATCCATAAACATCTACGTAATATGTTACTAGGGGTAGTTTAGAGTCTGATTGTGTGCGTATATGTGTGTGTGTGGAATGATAAAACAAACAGGAGAAGAAGAACGGAGAAGGTTCATCAGCACATACCTTGGCTCTACAGGTTTTTGTCCTCTTGAAGCATTAGTTACTTATTCACATCTCAAGAAACTCTTCTCTTAAACAAAACCTGTTCCTCTTTTTGTTTCAGGGAATGCAACAAGTGAGGAAGAAGTGGAGAGGTTGATGAGTGATGCAGAGAACTACACTTTAGCAAACCATCTTTTCTGGGGATTATGGGGAATCATCTCGGTTCGTTCTTCTCTTTTCCTTCTTTTGTCTGAGCTCTTGAAATACTTTTATGCTCGAATGTTGGAACTTCGTAGTAATCTCTAGTGTGTGTTGCTGATGCAAAGCAGGGGCATGTGAACAAGATTGAGTTTGACTACATGGAATATGCAAGGCAGAGATTTGAACAGTACTGGCTTAGAAAGCCCCTGCTTTTCAAGGATGTAGAATGATTCACATTGAAGCCAATATACAAAACTGAATTTCTAAATGTTTTAGATGGACAAGAAAGAAAAAGAGTTAGGTGACTCTGTTGTTATTGTTACTTTCATCAGTTTGTGTGTTTTGTTCCCTAGAAAATAGAGGTTTGTAAACTTTCAAAGCAGTACACATGGATAAATAAAACTATAAACATATGCCTCTTCAGCATGAAGCACCAGTGGTCTAGTGGTAGAATAGTACCCTGCCACGGTACAGACCCGGGTTCGATTCCCGGCTGGTGCATTTATTTTTATATTTCTACTTTTGCCCTCAAAAACATACAAAAAAAAAGATGGCCACTGGTGCTGCTAGTGCAAATGGCATAAATCATGGATGTAAAACATTCTTGATTTCATTATTTATAAACTTAATTTACAACGGTAAACCAACACCATAAAGACCAAAAAACTATAAGAATGTGAACGTTACGTTCCCTTCAGTGTGATGCATCAGTAACGACAGGAGATTAAAAACCTATCCGTAGAAAGAGAATGTCTCTTTCGCCAATACTTCATATGCAAAATAGATCAAACAACAACAAGCAACCAACCAAAGTCTCAATTCTCTCTTCTTTGTTTCTTTACTCTCTTTAAACAACTACAGCCACAAGTTCCTCGTTTTCAATCTCTGCATCCGTAAATGTCAAAGCTCGCTGAAGCTTTTTGGCAGAAAACACCTCAACTTCAGCCATGTATATCGCTGTAACCGGACGATGATCCGAGAATAGCTGTTCGGTCCGTCGGTAATGAACCAACCTCATTCCTTTCCCGTAGGATAATACTCTGTCACACCAAGCTGGTGTTCTCCGGGTCCCCTTTCCATCGTTTCCTGTGTACTCATCGGAGTTCGCTTGGTACTTATAGGTCGGTGCAAAATGTGGAGTTCCTTCTGACCATCCATCAAATGCTCTACCTTTCTTGTATTCCTTCACCAGCTACAATACATATATAATGTTCATAAGAAAAGAAAGAAACAACATCTGTTTTAAGTTGAGCAAACTCTATAGCTATGACTGGTAATTCTTGATTTGTGCTTTAATGGCTTTGTAAGATCAAAATCCTAACAGTAACAAGCAAGGGTTATTGTTACCTGGTCATGTTCAAGTAACTTAGACCATTCTTTCTTGAAAATGAGGTCTCTGGTTTTCTCATAAGATAAATTAAGCCGATAGTTGAGATCTCCCAACCATATTATTCTTCTGCAATGAGGTGAAAACAAGATAATGTTATCGAAAAGGGTTTTTGAGTAAAACGATGAGGAGAGGAGAGAAGAAAAAGAAGACAGACTCGTGATCAAGGATAAGCTTGGGAAGTCCAAGAGCTGAGACAGAGTGAAAGATTGTTCTTTTATGTATCTCGTGAACATCTGCATTTCTCTTGATCTGATCAACTTCTCTTTCTCCTGCCGTCAAATGTGTGCATATGAAACAGAAGAACGTCTGGTTTATCGACATACTCACTGACACAGCTCCCTGAACACCAACAAACCCACTTTTTTAAAAAAAAAAAAAATTTTGTAACATAAAGTTTGATGAATGATCTACTCTAATCTTTTATATGTATACCTTGTTACCAATATATCCCATGATGCCAACTCCAACCGTAGAGACACGTACGTTTTGAATGTGTTTTCGCAGGCTTCGTTTAACCCAAATGGTCAAAAGAATCCCAACCATTTGTTTACTCACTAGCCTCACATAAGCCGGTCTACGTTTCCTCTCCATTAGCAACTTCAAGTCCATTTCAGCTAAAGCCAATACCTCCGGTGGAATCCCTTGGTTGCTTCCGGCTACCGACTTAAACGAACTATAAGCCTTGAAAGATTTGGCTGTTTTCAGTGACGTCACTGTCTGTATCGACGGCTGTCTATCGAGAAGGCACGAGGGTCCTAACATGTTCAAAGGAGGCTCCGGCCAGCTCAAACCGATCCTTTCTTTCCCACTTAGCATCCGGTTTAGCGTTTTCATACCGGTTTCAGATGAATCCTCGTTGTGCTTTCTCTCAATGCTATCAACACGTAAACAGACTTGTCTGTCTAGCTTCCTAGGAGAAGAGAACTGTCTCTTGATCTCAATAACCGGTAAACCGGTATTAGGGTCAACGAGGGTGTTGACTTCCCCGGTAACTCCACCGTCGTGCTTTAGCTCGCTGAGGCTTTCTTCTTCTTCTTCCTCTTCGTCTACAGGGTGAACCTCAACGCCCATGTCGCTGTCACTCTCGAAAGCTACTTCTTCCTCTATGACGTCATGTGTTTCCTCAAAAGGTTTGAATCTTCCCGGAGATGGTGGATCACTGTAGCTCTTAACCGCAGAGTTTTTTGGTCTGACTCTGTTCAATGCTTCTCTGATCACTTCTTCCCATTTCACAACTGGTCGGTTATCTTCAGCTCCAAGAATGTTTCCAGCATTTAAAGGTACAATCTCTTGAAAACTTCATACCAAACAAAAAAAAAAAACATAATAAATTTCTTGTAAGAACATATTGAACAGAGGTGGTTTTGTCGATGTCGTTGAGGAAAAGTCAAATTTTTTTTGTTTACCCAAGAACGTAGATATCAGCAGGATGATTAATTTCAATCCAGTCATCAATGTCAAGATCAGAAGGTGGTGATATTCCTCCTACGTTCCACGTACCAACACATACTCTGCACACAAGATTTTTCGTTATTTCAATTCCGACATGTTAGGTCTCCTTTTCACCCAACAAAGTTGAAAAAAAAAGACGAGAAGAATCGAATCTGTACAGTAGTACAATATTAAAAAAAAATATACAATAATAATAATAAACTACATGGATAAATCGAGAAAGGATCAAAATTGTACCTTATTTCTTTGTTGTTAATGTACTGTGCTCTTAGTGTTTCCGAATTCCTTCTCCTTAACTTCAACGGAGCATCTGATTTCAGCAAAAATTAAAGAATTTTAAAGATTCACAAACTCGTATCCATAAGTTTGGTTTTTTTTTTTAAATTTGATATCTTCTATAAGGTTTTTTTCTTTAATTAAAATTTATTCTAAAAGGTTTGAAATTCAGCAAAGGGATTTTCAAGATAGATTATAAAAACCCAGAAACACCCCACAGTGAATCTCATAACTACCTATGCAATTCGGCATTACCATTGCTAGTAAACTCCGCGGCAGCTGCGGCGGCGTCCACGGCGGTGGAAGCGGCGGCGATAGCATCCTCCGCGTTCTCACAAACCCTCGATAGAGTCGATTCTCTTCCACGCGTCCTCGATTCTCCACCATCTGTTAAACCGGGTTTAAAGAGCTTAGATAACCGGAAAAGAAGAACCGGTGTTTTTTAAGAGAAAGAGAAGAGAGAGAGAGAAGGGGGGGACCTTCATCGGAGCTGGAATCATCGTTTTCCTCTGTAACGTCGTCGTTTTCGGATTCGTCTTCAGTATCGGCACCATACTCAGGATCTCTAGCACTTATGTTCAACCACTTCCTCATCACCAGCTTTGCCCATAATTTCTGTGATCCAACATTCAAGAAATAAAAAAATAAAACTTTTTGTTCAGACCCAATCTATATTTTCAGACATCAAAAAGAATCCGTAGAGAGATAAAATCTTACCTGAGATTTCTGACGACGGTAGCTTTTCTTCATCATGCTTGCAGGCTCAAGAACTGAAGACATCGAATTGTAAATTCACTAAAAGAGATATATTAAAAAAAAGGAAAGTGATGAAACTTTTATAAATCTGGATATTTTTTTGTTTTGCCAGACCACAAATCCAAAAAAATTACTTGAGAGAGCTCGGAAACGCGTGAGTCAGTCCTCGTCTTTCTTTTCATCATTTTATGTAAGAAAACTTTATAAAAAAATAAAATAGCTTCTTTTTTTAATAATGGCGTAACAATAATAATACTTGTCTCCTCACGTCATAGTTACTTTTATTCTCAAGTAACAGGGAATTTCAAAACCAAATTCCCATACTAGCGAGTAAGCGTCACGACTTGTGAAAACAAAAAGGAAAAAACGGTTATTTATTTACTGTGTATATTAATGATGTTTATAAGTACTATAGAATAACTCGAATTATGGTCCCTAAACTTATAAGATGAACTTTTCACAAATTGGACCACAATATTTTTAGTTTGTTACGTTGTGGTCATTGATGGCTTTTGTATGACTATTTCTTTATAACCCACTTAAAGTTAGTTTAGTAGGAACTATAATATATGCACACTAGGTACATATTGAACTTGGTATAACAACTACGACGGGATCTACTTTTTTAATCTGAATTCTTGACATACACTTCTGGTCTCACCATTTGGACTTTCACTTTTGGACCGCAACTCAACTGCTTCTCTAAAAATTCTAGTGGATTATGCATTATCTGTTCTTCAATAAGTATATTTGTGTATATATATATATATATATATGTATATATACTCACATTATTAACGTGGTAAGTTTCAAACCGGGTATTTAATTAACAAATAAAAAAAATTAATCTGGAAAGGAAAATCCGAAGTGGTGGCCAGGTAGGTTGGTAACGTGCGTCACTCGTTTGCATAATGCGTATACCACTATACTATACCAACAAACAATTAACTTTCTATGCATATTGTAAAACATTTTTTATAACTATTATTTCTTTTCCTAATGATAACTATATGGATTTTGAACCAAACATCAGGGTAATGCCTAAAACATACAGTATAGAACGCCAAATATATATTATTGTAATTTAAATCATTCATAATTAATGGTGTCGAAGAAAAAACATTTATAACAGCCAGCCATAATTATAATCATTGTGGAGAGACTCAAACTACTACTATTAAAATTGTGATCACGATATACTATATTATCACAAATTTTTGACGAATACATTTTTTCAAACAAAGTATGAGAAAAGAAGAGCATATCCCTTATCGAGTTTGAATTTCTAGGTTGAAAAACTGAAGCAACACATGTTTCCCCAAAAAAAAACAAACTGAAGCAATACACACACAAAAAAAAAGTTTAAATATTAACCACGTTTAATCTATCAATTTTTGCCAGAACGATTCAATTAAGGTACGAATGTGAGGGAGATGTTAAAAAGCAAGTTTATTTTCGGAATACCAAAAAAAGGAAAAAGGAAACCCAAAGGACATGGCGCCGCCAAATTAGTCGATAGGGTGTAAAAGCAATCTATATGAGATCCGGTCCGGATTTCCGGTTAAAGTTCGGTTAACGGATAAGGTGTTCGGGTCGGTGCAGTGCGGTGCGGGACCCACGAAATACACGGACTTGATTACGAAGAGTTGGACTCTATCGGGCCCACCTATCTTTAACTAGAGTTGGTCTACGATGCAACGAGTTTGTTGTTTGTACCCAATCTATTTGTTTCATAGCTTGGAATTTTCACCTAAAATCCAAAATCAGTTAAATCAAAGAATTAAATTACTTTAATTTTTCATTACTTTCAAATTACTGAATATTATCTCAACAATAATCTAACATTAACCGTTCAGCCAGCGCAATAAAATTAAAATTCTAGAAGTTTTGGTTGAAAATATCGTCAGTATTAAATTAATGGAAAACAATCTACGTACTACTTCTGCATACGAGTTTGGCAACTGTCAAAACTCATTTGTTATAGACAAATAGAAATATTAATGGTTTTAGATAATCATGCATCTTTTGATGTCTTAATATTGTTTTCTAGTTATCTTAGATTTAAAGACATTAGGTCGGTCCATCCAAATTTTGATACATCTATTTCTTTTTATTTCTACGAATTTTCGCACTTTAAAAATAGATATCATAAAATTTCGAAATTTTTTATTCAGTCGATAAAATTCAGTCAATGCAAATCTCAACACAATTCATTATTTTTTTATCCTATTACCGATGTAATAAAATCATTTACTCAAATCATGTGAATTGTACTTGGTATTTGTAAGTTTTTTTGTTTTTCTAGTTTGGTATTATTTGACCAATATTTCATTTTCATTAAAATTATGTGCAATCGAATATATATATATATATATATATTGAACTATTTTATAAATGTTTATGTGACTCGAAATGATTAATATTGTATCTTCTAGAAATTATATGTAACATGTCCGAAGCTATTATCCAAAATATTATAAATCCAAAGAATATTTTTTTGTTATAAGGAAATTATTTCTATTGTATATATATAGAATTCTTATAAATGAGATAATTTCTATAAAACATTACAAAATATCAAAACATACAGCCATAAACAATCAGATAAGTATTTCTATGTAGCGAAACAGAAACAATATTAGGACAGATAAGCAAGAAATGCTTATCTCATCCAATTAAAAATATTGCAGATAAAATATTTTTTAATGCAAAATTTATTTAAGGAAAAAAAAAGGAATTATTTCATAAGTTCAATGTTAAACTTTTGAAAACTATTCTCGTGTAATGACTTTATATTATGTTGTTTGACACCATTGTTTTTAACTGAGTATGTATTTAAAAGATGGAGAGGAAGTCAGTTACCTTTTAGCATCTAGTAGTATCCTGATTATCTCACTGTTCACCTGAAACGTGATGAAGTAACAAGAGAAAATTTAATAATTGGTGATTGGGTGCACAAAATTGCATGAGTATACTCTTTATACCAACATAAAGTGGTTTAGATAAACTAAACCCTAAAAGCAGCTTCAAAGTTACGTATTTTCGCCCCTCCTCAGTGTATGATCGATGGGGTCTGAGCGAGGCAACCCAAAATATGTATCTGTGGGTTATATTATTTATTCATGCATACAGCATACGTAATACACAAACACAACTGGCACAATTATATATATCATAGACATAAATTATAAAGGTACATATCTATAAATGTACAATTAGGGCCAAATGAAATAAAAAGGTAATATAGATAATTTTTCGACAAAAAAAAGAAGATAATATAGATAATTTGTCGAAACCAGGAGGAGATCATAGACGTTAAAAAACCATAGTTGGAGATAAAGTCATAGTGCAAGTCACATGAAGCTCCATTCTTTTCTTTACTTTTGTTTGTAAAAGGATATATGAAGCTCCATACTTCATTCAACTCTTATATTCATCATTGGTGGTTTTTCTTAATATTTTAATCACCGATGATATTTTATACTACACTATATTAATTTTCTAAAAACCCTAAACAAACTAAAATAAAACCACCAAAAAAGTTGCCACCAAAACTGTTTTTATTTTTTATTGGAAGTCTTTTGAAATATGGGATAATTTGTATATCAACGGACAACGAGTGTCAATAACTTATTATAATAGTCGATAATTTTAATATGCATTCAAAAAAGTAGCGACGAGGGATGGGTGAGTGACGTAAGAAACAACAATGGAATTAAAAGGCAAATAACAAATAGAGATTGGAGATAAATAGATCATGAGAAAAAAGAAAACATGTTTGGTCCCTTTAGGGATCACATCAATCTTGACCACTACTATCCACAATATAGGCAGTGGTTGCCACTCGCCACCCAAATTTTTTTAGCCAAACCTTTCGTTACACATGTCACTATCTACACCAGTCATTTATATTGATTATATTTTTTTTTGACACGATACTTTGATCTCATCTTAATCAAAATAACTAAAGCGTAGTCGAACTCGAACCTCTGTCATTCAATCAGCTCTTTCATTTTTCAAACCAACAAATCACAAACTTAAGTCAACCTCATAAACCAAAATTTAAAACACCTATTTTTTTTCATTAAATAGACCTTTTTCTCGACGACAAAAAAAAATGGACCTTCTTCTCGAAATGTAGACTAAAAACAATTTGTGAACACTAATTACATTATTTTTCACAAAATGCAGAGTCTGCACCAAATGATATTTAAAAAAAAACCAAAAGTATTTTTTTCTAGTTTGAACTGAATAACGACAAAATCGAATATTTTTAGGTTGCATTTTTACCACGACATCTTTTGTCTTTTTATCCTAGTGGGAACGTATATATCACTTTAAACTCAGTCATGTTGAAAATGACATGAAAGATTAAAGATTCTAGTCCAGTCAACTACTGTCTACTCTTCGTAGTGACTTCGAAATTTTAACTGGATACATACTTTTTCAAAGTTTCAACTGGATACATATTTGCTTAAGAACAATGATTTGAAATGTATAAATTTGCCCGAACATGTAATGTCATGAATAACGGAAAAGGCATCAGAATTTTTTTTATTGTAATGCTGGACAAAGACAAGAAAAAACACCTTTGGGAATTAAATCACACAATAGATAAGCTATGATACAGAAATCTCATCTACCAAGTTATATTCTAGTAGTAAAGATTGTGTCGATAACGAGCCAAGTACTAACAAGTGACTAAATATATCTTTATTTGGGAACATATATTGGTCCCAAGCAACAAGTAACTTTGCTCTTCTGTCTACTTGTTTTGAGACTGTAGATGAGGTTCACACAAATATTCCATATTCATTGCTGACAACAAAAATTTCCATATCCATTTTAAAGTAATAAATACAAAAAAAAATCTTTTGATACATAGAAGTAATGAAGAAATAACCAGATTGGTAATGTTTATTGGATTCGGAGAAGAAAGTTTTCATAAATTGGATCTCAATTGGAACATTTCTTCTCATCAGTCATTCTATAAAATAATGATTTCACTTTTAGTATGTTCCATGTACTGTGATTTGCTTAAGACTTAGATTGTGTTCAGATTAAACCTATCCAAATGAGAACACTGTTTGAACAATATTTTTTTTATATAAAAAAAGTCTGAAATATAAAAGGAGATCAGATGAAAGTACCTATGGGCTGTTGTGACTTTGAGGAGATGACGAATTGGAGAAGAAGATGAAGAAGACGACAGAAGCAGAAAAATGAAAGAGCGAAAGCAATTAATGCTTCTTTGGGTCTTTTCTAAGTGTGAATGTGAGCTTTCAATTTGGGAAGGTTAAAACAAACTCTTTCTTCCTCCGACCTTTTTCTTCTCCATTTATATTTGTGTTTATATGTTGACAAAATAAAAGTGTTTATATTTGCATATAATATTTTTTGTATTATATATTATTATACATCTCTTTCAGCCTACATCTTCCCGCCACGTGTTCTTCTCGATAATTCCTACTCTCTTATAGTCTTACCATTTGTTACAAAATAAATTGGTTTTAATTTCCAAACTATAAATGATAAAAGTTATGAAAAAGATGTATGAAGGAAATATTGTTGAGGAATATCGTCTTCTATTTTTGTATTATCATAGCATCACCGAAACTACTTTTCTTTTGTAAGTTGGTTGCCTACCATTGTAGTAAAACAGTAAAATTTGGACATGAAGTCAACACTTGATTTCCCATTTAGTCCAGATAGCTAGGGTTCATCTATTAATTAATGTTTAGAGGAATATATACATAAAATGTTTAAGAAATTATGAGGAATAAACCAATTCTTTAAAATAAAATAAAATATGAGGAATGAAAAAAACATGGAAATAATATAATTGAAATAATATGTAAAAAGTGCAAGAGATTCTGAAAGTTTTAGGGATTAGAATTTAGACTAGAATTCAGAATCCATCGGCTATGAAAAGATATTTATGTAAAAAGTATGAATCGAACAAAAATTTAAGAAAACTATTTTTATATTTAAGAAAATATATGATGACTTCATTTCGAAAATTACTAACTAAAGTTATAAATTTGGAGATATTCTTACAGTTATATAAAAATTTAAAGGTGGGTCTTGTTTTTGTTTTTCGTATGCTTTGTAAAACTATGTTCATTTTTTTTTGTACTTCTTTGTTTAGCGACAAAAAGCTGGAAATATTTTCGTTACTTTTTCACTGCGTATGACAACTGGTAAGAAATCAGAAATTTCCGGGAGTAATAGTGCTCTACATTTGCCTTTTTATCTCTCTATAACACCAAACAGTCACATCTCTACTTTAACCGAGAGGGGAAACGAAAAAACCAACGTAAACCGGTGGCACATTAACTTAATTAATTTCGCCGATTGGACTTCCGGTTCGTGTTACCACTGCTTTATGGTAGGTAAATCTTAAGCACATGTCATTTGACTTCAAAAACCCTAAATTAACGAGCAAACTTTGATTCATTGTTAAATTTTGTCGTCTTTACTGTAGATGACATGTGTTTGTTTTTTGGTTCAACCACAGGACATGTGTTTGTTTGATCTGTAGTTAGTCTAAACTGAAAACCTTAATTTCACAATTTATTTGTTTTTCATTCTTTTTTTTTTATTACTGGAAGAAGAGAAGAATCGGGAAGCCTGTGACTTATCTTACATCAGACTTTCATTTTTCTAAGTTATCTGTACAGCGATAATTACGCCTTCATAAATTTTATAATTTGGTTAATGGACGCCAACATATACATGAGACAAGTGTAAATTATTTATCAAACTGAACCATCGTCCAACATATATATAAAAAAATATCGCATCTACGATAACTCCTAAAGTCGAGTGCGATATTATATTACGTTTAAAAGTAGACTTTACATCTTGTAAGCCTACCTTAAAATGTTACGGAAGGTTGATATATAGCCGAATGCAGTCTACTCTATAGGCTCTATAACCACTAATCTCAATCTAGGAATCTATTTAATTATTATTGTTCTATATATGTGGGAGCAATATTAAAATCTGAATTTCTGATGATGCTAATCAGCGAGCACTACAATATTTGGCTTTGTGGTCTTCGCCGAATTCCTGGCAATTTTATAATGTGTTTTTTATATGATTGACAATGACTCATTGATTAATTAAAACATTCAGAGTATAATTAATAGTATTTTCGTATAGGTGGCAAAGCGATGATTAATCATAATTGATCGGTGGGTTTTAATTTTATTGTCTTCATGATAGTCAGAAATCAGAATTATGTTATATATAAACTAAAATTGAGTTAGTAATTTGCGTAACTGTTGGGTTGTTGTCAAGCTAGAACTTGACCATCATCATAAACAAGTATCATCTCACTCTCCAGCTTTGTAATAATTTACGATTTGAAATCATGCAGTTTGTCTAATCATTGTCTAGTGTCTATTAGTTTCACTATATTCCGAATTTAATATATGAACAAAACTTCTCTTTCGTTTATTCAAAACAAAAATAATACAACTTCAAATTTTGTTTTATTGGAAAGTAATGTGAGTACTGTTTTTTATTGGCCGACGCAAACGATTTTTAAGCCATAGAGCTTAAATTATTTTGAGACTGAAAATATATTATAAATACCAGTACTAAAATAGAAAGAAAATATCATACACTGGACAAAAACATCAATTTGAAAAACCAATAATGTTAAATTGTAGGAGGAACAAGATTCAATAATAATTTCTCCACACAACCAAAAATAAGTTATTGATCCTATTGTAACCCAACCCAACGTTAAAGTCATTAAAACGATGCCATTATAAAAATTGCAAAGCTACCACATAAACAAACAAAAAATACAAAATAATTGATCATTAATTAACAACCGGGTAGGATTGCCTAGAACTCCAAGACGGCACCGAATAGCCTAACTCCACTTAACAATCAAAACACCTAATTCTAATTTATGTTGTATGGAAATTTCGTCCAATCACATTTAACATCTCAAAATTGTTTTAGAATTGAAATTTTCATGGATGCGTACGTTATTCCTAAAACAGTCTAAGTTAATACTAATTTGTAATCAACGATTCTATATTATTTTGGAAATATCGGTTCCGATTTTGAAAGCAATATAAATTCTGTATTTTGAAAACGTAAAAAGTAAATAACTTGAAAACTTAGAGATATTTTGTTATTTTCTTAAATTAAATAAATAAAATCAATCTAGTTCAAAAAATATGGATTGTTGCTTTAGATTTATAATTTTACCTTTCTTTACAAAAAGGATTTATAAACCTATATTATCTATGAATAGGGTTTATCTTCTTTAACAAAAAAAAATGAATAGGTTTATCTTGCTTATAAGTTATAATATGTAGTTATATAGTTATGGCTGAAGACTATTAATTATACACAAGATAAATCCGATCTATTTATCATGGATTTATCAAACAATTTGTTTAAGTGTGATTGATGTTTGGTGTTTTATTATATCTTTTCTTATAACATAACGTACTCAATGCAACCTCCCAATATATACCTAAGAGATAAGCATTTTTTCGTTATAGAAACGCTGGCAATAGAATTAAACAACCAAATTTAATTATAGCTCTGAAACTATGTAACATGTGGTGGAAACTAAAGAGCAAAGATTTGTTAAAAAGGAAATAACGACGTCGTCACGTAGATGTCAACTCAGCTCGACGCTGAAAAAAGGAGCGACACCAGCATCAACGCAACAACAAGGCCACAATTGTAACAGTTTTTTTTTTTTTTTTTTTTTTGCTATGACACAATTGTAACAGTTTATAACATGTGGTTTTATGATCACTTATCATTTAGGCACCGTCTAAACGTCTTTTTTGTAAAACTGATCGAGACCTTACGAAAGTTGGAATCCAAACCAAGAATGTTTATTAGTAGAGTCTTAAGACGTTATTCATTAAAATTGAATCGCCGACCACGTGAGTTTAATAAATGCGACGGTCCATTTACTTACAAGACTGGTCCATTCTTATTTGACACATAACCGCACTATTAATTAGGTCCATTTTCAATGTTGGGCCTATCATAAATGTTGGACATCTATGGGTTACATTGTCACATTTGAAACTTCGTGTCCGATTTGATAAAGTTTGTTAAGAGAAAGGACATTTCTTTGAAGAAAACTGGCGTAATGGAAAATGGATAAAATAAACCGTTTGAAGAAAAATTATCTGCGCGGCGGATAAGAGAAAAAGATGCAAACGCTTCTCAGTCAGCCATGTAAGTCTCTATTCACTGCTTCTTCTTCTTCATCGTCGATTCGTTGCTCCGGTTATTCGAGAGACTGTATCTACTTGAAAGCATCGGAGAAAACTTCGCAGTCTCAATTTCATAGAACCCTAAGCCCCTTTCCGTTTCGTCATTTCGCTATTTGTCGCGATTTTGCTGTCCGGGGAGCTAATGGGATCAGATTTTGCTCGCGAGACGGCATTTCCGATGTTCAAAACGGAGGAATCGTTTCTGAGAAGGAGGAGGAGGAGCTTGAGCTATTGAACAAGCCCAGCCCTGTACCGAAATCAGACGGGGACGAGGAGAAGGAGGATGGAAAAGCAGACGACGACGAGATCCTGGAGCCGTTTCTGAAATTCTTCAAACCGGAAGGAGGAGAAGAAGAAGGCGAATCGGAAGTTTCCGAGGAGAGAAATAGAGTGAGCGTGGAGTATTACGACCCTAAACCAGGTGATTTTGTGATTGGTGTTGTGGTTTCGGGTAACGAGAACAAGCTCGATGTGAGTATTGGTGCGGATATGTTGGGAACTATGTTGACGAAGGAGATACTTCCTCTGTATGGTAAAGAATTGGACTATTTGCTGTGTGATTTGAAGTACGATGCTGAAGAGTTCATGGTCAATGGGAAAATGGGGATTGTTAAGGATGATGAAGAAGACGGTGTTGAGATTGCGGAATTTGCACGGAAAGGCAGGCCGGTGGTGGAGATCGGGACGGTGATTTTCGCGGAGGTGTTAGGGAGGACGTTGAGTGGAAGGCCTCTGCTTTCTTCTAGACGATACTTCCGGAGAATCGCTTGGCACCGAGTGAGGCAGGTTCTTTTCTTGTTCCTTGATTCCATTTTCTGGATTCAAAAACTGTTCTTGGTTTGAAGAATTAACGTCCTATAAGGATCTAATGAAGAGTGAATTGTTCTTTTGCAGATCAAGCAACTTAATGAGCCTATTGAAGTGAAGATAACAGAGTGGAATACAGGAGGGCTTCTCACCCGAATTGAAGTACTCGAATTTTCGTTTCTTTAGGGGCTTTACATGTTGCTTAGACTACATATCTTTAAGTAGATAATCAATAGCTTTTTTGTTGGTTTGATTTCAGGGTTTGAGAGCTTTTATTCCGAAGCAAGAGCTGGTGAAGAGAGTGAACAGTTTCACCGAGTTGAAGGAAAACGTAAAGCAAGAGTTTCTTCTTCTGCTGTAACAATTGGGTTTTTCTTACGTTTAGCCACAGCAAGATTTTGGCTTTACCGTTCTGCGTTTGCTCAAGCTTTTTCATGTTACAGGTGGGTCGTAGACTCGTTGTGCAGATTACGCGATTGAACGAAGACAAAAACGACTTGATACTGAGTGAAAAAACAGCCTGGGTTAGTTTCACTTCTATGGCTTGCTTTTATACGAAAAACCAACGATGAGACTAATGATGATCTCGCATAATGTCTCAGGAGAAGCTGAACCTTCGAGAAGGAACGCTCTTGGAAGGAACAGTTGCCAAAATCTTACCATATGGAGCTCAAGTCAAACTCGGGGAGAGTAGTAGAAGGTTAGTTCAAGTCTACTCGTTATTATTCTTAGTGACTAGTAGTTTTAAACTCATTTCGTTTGCCAATATATGTTTCCACAGTGGACTGCTACACATTTCGAACATAACTCGCAGAAGAATTGGATCGGTGAGCGATGTGCTTCAGGTGGACGAAAGCTTAAAGGTTCTGGTTGTGAAATCTCTATTTCCAGACAAGATCTCTCTCAGGTAAAAACGAACCTTAAATATAAACGCAAATTCCAATATTCAATACTCCTCAATAACAACTAAAACCTCTTTTCTTGTATTGTTCTTGTTCTACAGTATTGCAGATCTCGAAAGCGAACCGGGTTTATTCATCACAAACAAAGAGGTACAACTTGCAGATAATTCTATTAGAAAGTTTTCTCAGTTTTTACAAAAAACACCATTCATATCCCTAATCTAATCATTAAACTGTGAGTTTGTCATGTAGAAAGTATTTATGGAGGCTGAAGAGATGGCAAAGAAGTATAGAGAAAAGATGCCTTCGTTGACTACAAGCGAGATTTCTGATCGTCCTCCGATCACAAGCAGTTTTCCTCAGGGCAAGGATGAAGAAATCTATGCTAACTGGGACTGGTTCAAGTTTGAGAGTCAGTGAAAAAATTACAAATTCTGATACAAAATGTTGTACAATTCGATTTTTGTTTTGGATTATATGTTAAGTAAATGATTTTGATCGTTCGTTCTTCTTCAAAAAAAGCTTGTATTTTTATACAGAAGATGCGTAAGACGAAGCTCACTGAACTAGAGAAATTTAGAATAAACTCTAATCCAAGAAAGAACAATAAAGGCAAGGTTCACTCAATTTATTAGAGCAAAGCACACACAGATGATAAACAATGGCTCAGTATCCAAATTGTATTCGGTGAAGAAGAGAAAATTTCCTGCTAACCTCTTCCTTCTCCAGAGAATCAACATCATCAATCATATCATTCGTTCAGCTGCTGAAGCTCAGCTTTGAGCTGCTCGATCTTTAACCCCATGGATCGCTGCAGGGTCGCTCTCTCTTTCTCTGTTACCTTCCCAAGCAAACCATCGAACATCTCCAAAACCTCCGCCACGGCGGCTCTCGCGCACTCCGCCTCTTCGTTGAAGTAAACCGTCTCCTTCGCATCCATCGCCATTTCGATTTCCTCACGCGCCTCAGCGAACTTTAGATTGATCTCGTCCACCACCTTGTTCACATCTGGCGTTGAGCCGCCGCTAGAGTCCGTGCCAAACCTCCTTCGATTATCGTGGGGTAACTTGTATGAAGCGTTTGGGATTCGGATTATTCCCGAGAGGCTGGATATCGAACAGGGAGACGGTGACGGAGGTCCGATATGACCGGAGACATCGGCGAGCGAGTTTATGGGAGCCGGAGAAGAAGCAACGCTTAGATTCTGAGGAATTCGGAGAGACTTCCTGGTGAATAAGTTTCGGAGAGTAATTGCTGAGTGAAGACGCATGGTTTCCTCTGAAGTGAATCCGCCGATTAGGTCTCTCCGAGATTCTGGCGGTCGGCGGCGTAGATAAATAATTTGTTCAAAACTTTATGATTGCCTACAGAAGGAAGAGGAAGAAGAGATGTTGCTGGCCTAATGGGCCTCATAATTAGGCCCACAATGAGGTCCATAATGGCTCTGGTTGCACAAAAGTCAAAAGAAGACTGGTGAAGGTCAAACTATTAACCAAACCACAGAAGCACCTGAACAAAAGCCAAAAGCTTCTCACTGACCCCTCAAATGGCGAACCACTCCATTTCCATTTCCCTACATAAACCCTCTTAAGCTCAAAGACACCGACCCACAAACCCTCGAACGCAATCTTGCCTTTTTGAGCCACATCAATGGCTCACACCATTCCACCACCATCTAAAAAACAGCCGCATACAGTTTTGAGTTTAGCCGCAGCAAAAAATCTTCTGGATGGATTTTCTGTGTTTGCTTCTCGTTCCAAGAGGAAGCTTCGTCGTTGGACTTCTTGTTATGGCTCTCGAGATCATGAACCTGTTATACATCTCCAAAATGACATGACCATGATGATGATGAACAATGGTAGTGTTTATGATCCGTACAATGGCGAACCAAGCATGCTGCTGAGTGGGGATCAGAGACGAGGTCCGTTGTGGCAGAAGAACATTCTCATGGGAGGAAAATGCCAGCTTCCAGATTTCTCCGGCGTTATCTTGTATGATTCGGAAGGACTTGTTGTTCCTCCGGCCAAGAACTCTCTTCCTCTTCTTACCTGGAAGTAAAAAAGAAATAAGATAGATCCCTAAGAAAAGCTTAACCTTATTGTCCGAGTTTATCATTTGTTTGTATCTATTCCTTGGGATTTAATGTATGGTATTGTTCTATGATTTTTATAACTAAAAGTTCAATGAAATATATGTATTGTGTGAAGCTCTTGCTGAAAACATCCAGAATAACACACCACACACACATGCATTAGCTTGTGCATCAGAATCATTGCCAAAGTGTAGTATTACTTTGATCTACTGCTTTGAACAACAATGTCCAGGGGCAAGTCATAAAATATCTCATGATCGTCCAGTAACTTTTTTAAAGTATGAACCGACTTCAGTTCATGTTTGTCACATGTAATATTCAGGCTTCAATACGCCAACGTAAGATAGGTTGCGGTATTGCTCTGCAAAGTCCATGCCATAGCCCACGACAAATTCATCTGGACACTGCACATAATCAGAAGGTACAACACATATTCAACGCAATGCCATGAAGCATAAGAAGCAACTTAAGTCAGGCTAGTTTTCTAGCCCACCAAAGACTATTTTTGTTTAGACAAGCATAGGCATACCACTGCAAACAACTGAACAAGGAAGAATCTAATAACATTGAATATGCAGACTCCAAAGAGCTGAATATTCTGGTTATGTTGGCTTAAGCATTAGACGGTTAAGAAAGTCTTAGTTATTTATTAAAAATTCTGAACCATATGAAACTCCAAAGCACTCAGAAGGATGTACAAATTTGAGAGGAGAAAGCGAAAAAGCAGCTTACTTCAAAACCACTGTAGAATTTCCCGTTTCCAACCAGCTTAAAATGAACCTTTCTTCTTGATGGCTTGTCGAGTAGAGTGCAGACTGAAACCGACGACGCCTTTTTCAGTTTCAGGTGCTCTATTAGGCAGTTCAGTGTATTGCCAGTATCCACAATGTCCTCGACCTTTAACAAAAACACATAGCTAGTTAACAAAACAGGCAGTGAAATTTCAAATGCTTGTCACAAAATGACTAGCAAGACATCACCAAATGTCAAAACAACAAAGTGATCAATCTCCAGTGTAATATGCTTATCACGTTACGTTTGGCGTATCGCTATGCTCTTCAAACGTCTAAATTCCAAAGAAAGACTTAGTTTTTAGTAGCCACCACACAGAAATTTTAGTCGTATAGATTCAAACTTTCCATAACATCCATATGAATCTGAAACTCAAGATCTAAGTACTGAACACATATTACCCAATTCCAGATCCATCACGCATAGATGAGATAAAGAGAACAGTTAAAGCGAATGGAGATGATTACTTACCAAGATAACATGTTTGTTCGTGATGTCCAGCTTTAAGTCAAACGAAATTCTGGGAGTTCCACTGGAGACTGTACCTGAGCCATAAGAGTCTGCTCTGATAAAATCGATGGAGATGGGAAAGTCAATTCGCCTGACGAGATCGGCCAAGAAGAGACAAGCACCGGTGGCTACGCCGACAAAAACAGGCGACTCCGATTCGCCGGAGAAATCAGAGGTAATCTCGGATCCAATTTGATCCACCCGCTCCGCGATGACTTCGGCGCTGAAAAGCACTTTCTCTATGTGCTTCTCTTGCGACATCGTCCTACTTACCTCCACCACGAGATTCAGGATTTGGGTTTTAATGTTAATCGCGACTGTAAAAAAAAAACGCGGGAGGTTAAACCAAAGCTAACCATACCCGGTTCAAAATAACCTGAAATTGCCAAAGATTTTGAATTTTCAATTGGCGCTCGAACCATTTGAGAGAACGAAATTGAAATTCATTTTAAACACAAAAATCGAAATCCCTAGAGAGCAGAAGAAAAGGCGAAGAAGAAGAAGAAGGAAAATGGCGAATATTGTCTTCCTCGCTCTACAATGTTTCGAATGCTCAACTATGCAGGTCAAGCTCACTCGCTCTTTCTCATTCTCCATCTATCGATGTTCGTATAGTTTAAGGTCTTTTATATCTTTTGGGAATTGTTTTTTTGGGGGATCGTAGGTGAAGCAGAAGAAGAAAAGCAGCAACAAGTGGGTTTGTGTGATTTGCAATCAGAAGCAATCGGTAAGGAAAGTGTTTGCTCAGGGTTACAAGGCTAAGGAGCTTCGTTTCTTCGTCCAGTCCTTTAATATGTCTCGTAAAGCTGCCGATGAAGAGGCACTGGCCGTAGCAGATAAGTATTTGGAAGAAGACGTCGAAGGAGAAGAGGTTTCAGATATTCGTGGAAAGAAGCGATCTGATTGGACTGAGTATCTCGATTCCGGTTCACCTATTGATCGCCGGAGATTACCTGGAGAAGACGACGGCGAAGAAGGTATTGATGGCTCTAAATCGAATGATTACTTGAGAATGTTTGATTTGGATTGGTATGTTTGCATCTTGAGCGACCAATAGATAGAGAGATACATTACTCGTTTTCGACACTTCGTTTCAGATCTGAAAATTGTGACTGAGATGCCGAACAACATGTTTAAAAGGGCCAAGCTAAGCAAACACTCTAGTGCTGGTGGATCATCATCATCAGTTACAGGAGGCGGAGGAGAAGACAGACGGGAATGCTTCAAGCCTTCCTTCTCCAGACGAAGCATCAAAAAGACAGATTTTCGTCCAGGTAAGAGGAATTGTGCTACACATATTCGCGGATTTCTGATTTCATTTCATATCTCAAGACAAGAAAGTTGTACAAATCTCTTGTTCGAGAAAAGCCGCTTCGAATGTTGTTTATTGACATGCACCAACACTGATTTGGTTCAAGGGGCTAAATGGTATATTTCTAACTCCTATCCTTCGAATGTGCAGATGAACTGATGACGAGGAAGAAGGATATAGAACAGAGAAATCTAGAGCCAGCAAGAGTTTCTAAGCCTGCTTCGAAATGGGACGCTTACTTGATTGATGATGAAGGAGAACATCCAACAGCACCACAATTTAGTGGAAGAGAAGCCTTGAAGGATGATGATGTAGGAGAATGGGACAGAGCAATTATGGATATAAGTTCGCAATATCAGATAGTAGATGACGAGGTCCATCCAGATTTCATGTAATCAAAGATAGCCATTTTCTAATAATCTACGGCCTTGCTAAAAGAAATTTAGAGAAAGTGCAAACCAATTATCTCAGTGGATAGATTCATAACAAAAACTAGATAAGGTGCTAAGAGTAACAGTTTGATAAGAAAACTAGAGAAATGCTAAGAGTAGAACTCAAAACAAATTTAAGTTGCAAAGGAAAAGAAGATAGTTTAAAGAGATCCTAAATGTTTAAAAGAGACTGTCTAAGAAAGCCAGAATAAAATATTGTCTTGAGTAAAAAAATGAGTTTTCACTCGGTTGGGTTGATAGCGAACTGGTCATCAACGGAAGACACAGCTGGTGGTGGATTAGCAGAGACCCTGAGAACTTCCAAAGCCTCAGACACTTTAGCCTTAAGAGCTTCAGGTGACTCGAGAAGGTGCAAGATCTCGGCTTGGTCCATCTCCAGCAACATCCCAGTCACTTTAGCCGCATGAACTGGCTCATGCTTGTCCACAAGTGGGTAAAGCTGCTCCCCAAGCATCTGTCATCATTTCACCAAATCACATTTTCTTAAGCTTTTTGCATTGGAAAAGAAAAGCATCAACAGATATAATCTAATGCAAGTCACTGACGAGACAAAAACCTGTGGGTGATTTGCGGGGTTAGCCAGAGCCAAGGCAGAGGTGAGCTTAGATATTGGGAGGAGTGGAGGCTTGTGTGGGTGTTGAGAAGCATTGTGAGAGATTGCAGATGCATCCAATGGCATAGGCATGATGCTCTGTGGAGCAGATGCATCCATTCCATTCCTCATATTACCAGCACCTCCCGTGAATCTCATTCCCGAGCTTGCATTTTGCATCATCTGCCAGTTCAACAAAACAACAAGACACAGCCAAGTTGAAGAAGATAACAAACTAGCTAATAGCCACAGAACTGATCATCAGGATAAAAATTTACATACTTGTTGTTGCTGGAACTGCTGCTGCATGTTAGTAGCACCACGCCTGAACCCAACGCGAGGACCAGGCTGGTTTTGCCTCTGAAGAGGGTATGGCATCATGAAGTTGGCTGGACCAGCACCTGGACGCACACCAGGCATGAACTGAAGTTGGTACCCATACCCCATAGGCTGTGAAGGTACCATACCTTGACCGTTCTGGCCAATGTACATTGGGTGGATTGGTCCAGTAATTGGACCACCAGGTGGGTGATGGTGCAACCCAGGCATTGCTGATGGCATTGGCGAAACTGCCCCACCTGGTCTCATGTGAGAGAACAGGTTCTGAAAAAAGTGTAAACAAAAAGAGAATTTGAGAATCATGGTCACAACGCAAATAAAGAGGAAGATTACAATTTGAAGTTCAAAGAGAGGGATAGTAACCTGAAGGTGATTTCTTCTCTCTTCCTTGCGTTGAGCCAACGCAATGTAAAGAGGCTTCCTTCCTATCATCTTACCATTCATTTCATTCAACTGCATAATCATCATCTCCACCGAAAAAGTCAGTATATGATAGAAATACATTTTTGTGAATATAGAAAGATTGTGAATTTAGTTTAAATATAACTTACGGCTCTTGAAGCTTCTTCAGGATTAGAATAAGCAACAAAACCAAACCCTCTGCTCAAACCTTGTGAGTTCATCATAACCTAATATGTCCACAAACAATAAATTATTAATTCAATCTTCAAATGACTCGTTTAACATAAATATTAGAACAAAGAACAAACCTTGCACGAGGTCACGTTCCCATACTCAGAAAACATCTCCTTGAGCTTCTCATCATTCACACTATCATCAAGGTTTTTCAAATACAGATTCGACCCTTGAAGTTTCTCAAACCTGCTTATCCTCTCTTGCTCAAACTTCCGCCTCAGCTCTTCTTCCCTCTCAGACTTCTTCTGAGCCCTCCCAACGTACAACACATCCTCCCCCAGGCTAATCCCGTTCATCTTCTCAACCGCAACCGCAGCAGCTTCAGGAGACTCGAAATTCACAAAACCAAAACACCTCGAGTTCCCACTCTGATCTTTCATCACAACCGCACTTGAGATATCTCCATACTTCCCAAACGTCTTCTTGAGCTCATCGTCAGTGATCTCTTTAGGGAGATTCTTGACGTAAACGTTTGTGAAACGCGGCACCGTACGGCTCTCGCCGCGAGAACGGTCCTGACGACGGACAAAGTGGCCCACAAAGACTTGCTTGTCGTTAAGCAACAACCCATTAAGCTTGTCAATAGCAGCCTGAGCGGTTTCCTCTTTCTCAAACTGGACAAAGCCATAACCTTTAGACCTTCCCGCCACGTCCATGGCTACCTTGCAAGAGAGGATAGTCCCGAAACTCGAGAATGTATCAAACAGGGCTTTGTTATCAATCGACGCGTCGAGGTTTTTGATAAAAACATTGCCTTTTCCGCTCAGTCTCGTGCTCGGATCACGGTTCGAGAGCATGATCCTGATGGGTCTGTCTCTTATCGGAGTGTAGTTCAGGTTATCCATCGCTCGCATCGCTAATCAAATAAAAAAGATGATTTTTTTTCATTAGAACACAGAGACGAAACACAGTTTCATGAAGAAACAATTTTTAATCATCCATATCCATATCCATAATAATAATATTTTAATTGGAGAATTTTGAGTGAGTGGAGAAGAATTCAAAATACCATCATCAGGATTAGCGAAATTGACGTAAGCGTAACCAAGAGATCGGCGAGTCAAGTCCCGACAAACCCTAACTGTCTGGACTGGAGCCACTTGATTGAACAGATCCAATAGATGTGCCTCATTGACACTTTGGTCGAGATCTCCGACGTAAAGCGACGAGTTTGGGTGCGCTTGCAACGCCTCTGCAGCCGCAGCCGCTGCAGCCGCGGCGGCTACCTGAGTCACAGCCGGGAACGGAGTCGAGTGAGGAGAAGCAACCGTAACCGGTGGTTGATGAGGGACTTGATCAACCATCGCCGTTGGTGCAATTCCAGATGCAACCGCCGCCGCCATAACGGTGATTCCTTTAGGGCTTTTTTTTTGTTTGTGCGTGTGGGCAAGACAGGGAGATTCTGGTTTTGTGTATTTTTCCAAAATTCTAATCCTTGTGCAAATTTTTGGGGAGATTTTTTTTTTATTAGATATTTGATTTTTTTTTCCTTTTTTGGTTACTCCGGAGAAACGAGAGGAGTAAAATATGAGTGGAGAATGTGTTGTGGGTATTTATACATTCGCTTAACGAATCGGTCCCTACGGATCGGAGTTCGATCTGATGTGTCTTTTCAGATTTTGACCGAGTTTTACGAGGACCATGTGGGCCCATCTTGGGCTTTTTGTGTAATCTGAGCTTTAGGACGTATATGTGGATGCCACGCGTCCCCCGTTTTGGTCTAGTTCATGTTTTTTCTGTACTTTCTCTTTCTCTCTCTCTTTTTGTCGCCTTTTTTTGTGCATCTTTAAGAATTGGTAACAACGAGAAATTCATTTAAACCAAATCAAATTATACCTACTTTTGCGTTGCTTATGATTTGACCACTTTATATCGGACACAGTCTTGATAGCATACACGAATATTTAGGTCACGTTCTTAATCTATGATTTGTCAAGGAAAAACTCTAGTGATGGGATCTTCAAAGTGAGTTTCAATAAATTTTGTTCTTACATCCAATGTGGATATCATTTTCAAATATGTAAACATATTAATAGAAGGCACTTATTTATATTTTAATATTGAATGTTAGATTTTTAACAACACGGTCAATTCAAATCAAATTGTATTTGTTCTTTAGTATGTTAGTTTGGAGTCTGAACATACCTATTTTTGTAGCTTAAAATATGTAATCATCAACTTGTTTTTTTTTGTTAATTTTGTCTAACATAAAAAATGACCTCGAGTCCATAAGGTCCCTGACGCTAGTTATTCATACAGTGTAACTTTATTATCAAGAATAATATTATAACGATCGACGAGAAAATTAAGTACAGTATGAACAAGCATGTCGAAGATAAGTATCAGTTTCCACCAAAATGGCATAACCACATCTCATACACATGAAAATGCACAAAACAATAAATTTCAACAAGATGCAAATGGAGAAAACGCTTGCTATCTCTTGGTTCTGAAAGCAAGTAATTTGGCGCATCAAGGCTTATCAAAGACAAAGAGTGTTACCAAGGAAGAAAACCCCTTGGTTTAGAACCTCTATATATATGGTCGATGAAAAGACTACAATTTTCGACCACATTTCAAGCGAGACGAGTGTTAGGGTCTGCGATATCACCAGCCATACTTCCTAAAGAAGTCTCTGGTTCTCTTCCTCGCTCGGGTGAATACTATTACTATGCACGCAAGCACCCACGGAGGAAAGTTCCCCATGGTGATGTTGTTCTTGATCCACGCTGGAGGGTCTTTCAATAGAAACGTTATTAACAGCGTAATGATCACGACTCCAAGCACGATTCTTGTGATGGGTTTAATCAGGGAATCCTGAAAAACAAGAAGTGATGTCATTAGATGAATCACAAAGTTAATTGCAACTTACTGGAACCTTGACACTAAGTCCATTCCATGTGAATGATCTGAAGAGTAAAGAAACGTAGGAAGACTATACTATTGATGGCATATAGAAATAGGTGGTTTCATGAGCACAAGCATAAGAAAACTTTAAACTTAAATGGATCCAGAAAGCTAGTCTTGTGTAATTCTACTCTCCAAGAAGATGAATTACAGATAAAGGAGACTCAGATGATAAACACAACTTATCACATATAAGTATAACACTGTGAAGCATCGCACTTGCAACACTCTCTACAGTCACTCCCTAAGTTTTGTTCAACAGATATAATCTCCAGTACTTTGTATACATAACAAAATTCAACAGATTCTCAAATACTTATGAACTAGAACTGGAGACAGGGCGATCGTTCTCTTTCCTTTTCCACTTGCAGAAGTCAAACTCAAAAATCCAAAAAATTCGTCGAGTGAGAGAGATTACCTGAGGTTCACCGTCGATGTAAATGACGGCGCCATCCCTGTAAGGTAGCACAGAGCGGCCATTCCTAGGGTGAAATCGGATCGGTACGGCGCGACCTTTCTCGACGTTGAAAGCGAAGATGGATTTTAATCCATATTTCTCAAGAATAGGTCGAACCTCGAGCTGATCCTGCTCCCAACCTCCGAGATTCGACTTGAACACATCGATCGGACCTTTTCCACACCGATACAAATGGATCTCCACCTCCGGCACCTTCGTAGTCGCGGTCCTCGACCTCGATTCACCATCGGGTTGAGAATCGTCGAGCAACGGAGTAGTCTCTTCAATCTCTTGCTGTGGATCTCTCTCCGGCATCGTCTCCATTGACATGACTAAACGATTCGCCGGTCCGACGAATTTGGTTTATTTATTCTTATCAGAAGAAAGCAAACACAAATACAGTATTCTTCTATCAACCATGACGACGTTTTGGATCAGTAAAATTGCACGGTAGATTATGGGCCTTAATATGGGCTTACGGGTAATTAAAAGACGGTCCATTAGACTCTTGTTTATACGGTTACGATCAGTTTGTCCCCGGTCGTCTTCCTTTTCACATCCATCGGAGAAAAGATTTCGCCGGAAACAGAAGCTGAAAAATGGAAGCAGCTTTGGGGCTTCTCAGAAGAATGCCGCCAAAGCAATCGGAGACGGCTCTCTCGGCGCTTCTCAGCCTCCTGCCTCAACATTCTTCCGATCTTCTCTCTCAAGTCGATCTCCCTCTCCAGGTATTTCTCTTTAGTGATTCAAAATGTGATTTTTCCATCTAAGTCGTGTTTATCTATCGATTTTACGGGTTAATGTTTGGTTTGGACAACACTGAGGCCTTGGTTATGTAATACCTAGTCATTTATCTGGTTTAATTCAATTCCATTTGTCTGTCTCTTCTTTTTATGAGTGAAATAAATGTAAGTTTTCTGTAATAGTATTCTACTGCAACAGGTGTTACGTGATGCTGAAAGTAGGAAAGATTTCATCTTGTGCGAGTACAATAGAGATGCAGATTCCTACAGGTACTCTTTTCTCTCTATTACTTATTGTCTAGCGAGTAAACTTGACCCGTGTTCGAAATTCATTTAACAAGATTCGTTTCTACTCTAGACTTTATCTACTTGATTGATGCTAACGTGGGATGGCTGTGCTAGAGTTTCTGGATTAGAGCTATGAGCTTGAAGCTTGTGGACTATGAAAATTAGGGTCCCTTAACTACTTCTGGTTTATAGCTTTATTGCTATCTAATGTTGTTGTAATTTGTAATTTTTCAGGTCACCTTGGTCTAATAAATACCACCCTCCGCTAGAGGATGCTCTTTACCCTTCGTCAGAATTAAGAAAGCTGGAAGTTGAAGCCAACGAAATCTTTGCAATCTACCGTGACCAGTGAGGTTCTTCACTTGCCTCGTTTAACTTGAAAATCCTGTGGGGAAACTTATTTCATAAGTGATTGAGTTATCTAAAACAGAGACATAGTTAGCATCTGATCTGCAAAAGGCTTGCCTACTTGTTATGGAGAGATTCATTCACTCTCTTATGATAGAACACATTATGTAGATTTATCTCATACTTGTTTCATATATGATATGTGGTGTTTCATGCTTTTGACGTCTGCACAGCTCCTCTGAAATCTAGATGGTTTGATGGCTACTTAATCTATTCCATTCAGAGAAAGTAAAGTATCCATGAGATTAGAGACTGAAAAATCCTTGCAAACTCTTAAAACAATATACGTATCTTGTTCACTTTTTTATAGGTATTATGAAGGTGGTATATCTTCAGTGTACATGTGGGAGGACGATAACGAAGGCTTTGTGGCATGTTTCCTTATTAAGAAAGGTATTTTCTTTCTATAGGGTTAAATCACACTGCAGGTTAGCCAATAAAGACTTTTTACCTGAGTTGTTCTGGTTTTTCTCTCTCGAAGATGGCTCAAAGTCAGGTCATGGTCGGAGGGGATGCCTGGAAGAAGGAGCGTGGGATGCCATACATGTTATTCAGGTAACTCTAACATAGTCATTCATACCATTACCATGCATGCCTTACGAGTGTTATCAACATGGCCCATTTTGTGTCCACAACTGCAACTTTATCAAAATCTCCCAAGCAGCTTTTTCAACACTTGGGGTTCTCAATCTAGGTTGGTCCAGAGGAGGAGGAAATGGCACAGTATTGCTTAACAAGTACTATCATGCTCTCTCTGACCACTGATGATGAGTCCTCTGGCAAATTCGGGTTATCTGGATCAATTAGAAGACAAGTAAGTTTTAGCTTATATTCAACCCATGCCTTCATAGATAAACAGTTCCTGGAAGAATCCAGTTCAATGGCGATTCATTGGAGAAATGCCAAATTTCTCTAAAACAAGAACATTATTTTGCTATTGTTTGGAATTAGATGAAAATGGAGCTCGCAGTAGCGGAGGGACATCTCTGCAACATGGGAAGAATGATTGAAGAACTGGAAGGAAAACTGAGGAATTCACTTGATCAGGTTCCATCTCCAGTCCCTGCACCAATTCCACACAGTCTCTTGCTACTTATGCGAAGAGTCCTCCAGTAATGCATTGTGAACATGCGGTGGTTGCTTAATTTACCCGCATTCTGTTTGCTTAGTTAGTTAAATTCATGCTTATAGTTCTGTGACTGCTGGGGAAATATAGAGAGTAATCATCACATAACCGTATACTAAAATCTTGTGATAAGTTTGCGATCAGATCACTTTATCATTTCATAATTTTAGTGTGTGGCTCCAACGTTTGAGACTTGTTTGGTGAAAAAATCAGGTTTACTTTGGGAAGACAAGAGAAATGGTTTGCACATTGCGTCCACCAGCTGAGATTGTACAGATGAGACTACCCGACACCTGATTCTACCATCACACTTTATGTAATAACATTTCATATCTCTTCCACTTTTTTTTTTTCTTTTTTCTTTTTCCTGTCTGTCTAATTTTAAGCGTTTTTCCGAGTGTCTTGTGTGGATGCGTAGTACTTGGTCATGTGTTTTCTCTGACTTCACCATTATCATCATGTGACAATCTTTTTTTCATATATATGCAATGGGAATGATGATGCAGTTTTTAAGGTCATTTTTTTTTTTTTTTTTTTTTTTTTTGACCTCTTTTTTTTTTTAAGGTCGTTTATGATTATGAAGCTTTGACATGTTACCAAATGATTTTTTTTTTTTTTTTTTTTTTTTTTGTAACAATCAATGAGATGACATAGAGACTTCACATTCAAACAAGAAAAATAGAAAAGCCAATCAAGCATTCATATATGATATAGACCAATATCTTATTAGTTCTTCGCTTCGATTATTTATCTCTCTCTCTGGCGTATAAACGGTATATATAAATCTCTCTTCATATTCCTAATTCCTAACCGTGACGTAGCACGGCATGTTAGTCCCCATTACTCTGTACCAAAACGTGATAAACACTTGCGACTTGCGAGTAAGTTATCCTTATACAGTTATACTTAACACTCAAAACGACGCTGTATGAAAAGAACCAAAATCAGTTTAGGCCCTAAACCGAACAACGACATGTATATCATTTTACTGCAAAATGCAAATCATCAACCATGGTCACTCACAATTCGCATGACATTAAGACCCAATATAATCACTCTAAAAGATAATAATTATTTCATCGAAATATAAATTTCCTTTTTGACATCACAAAAATTAAGTTTCCTTTTCTTATTTCCTTTTTCTTTAGTTGTAGAGAGAGAGAAGCAACCCCTTAATTGTTTGGGGGGAGTAAATAGAGAGAGATATAAATAGGGATCCTTCGACGGTTTTGACCAGAAAAAAAAGGAAAATAAGACATACTTCGACGGTATAATTCGCTTTGCTAGTTTGTAACTCTTTTTTATAATCGGTAAGTCTCATTGACGAACACGAAATATCTCTCTGAGAATTTCAGCGATTCGCGGTTCGAATCCCATTGAACTCGTTCGAATTCGAAAACACGTTGATTGGAGGAAGAAGATGAAGCCGCGCTTCACCTTCTTCTTCATCATCTTCTATTGATTTTAATGGCTTCTTCATCTCAACGACGCTGCGTTTTTGGTACTCACTCTCCTTCTTCCCCTTATCACTCCTTCGATTTGAACTCCTCTGGTCTAAAATTTTCGATTTTTCGTTGTCTGTTTTCAGTTGGGAACATTCCTTACGACGCCACCGAGGAACAACTCAGAGAAATTTGCGGTGAGGTTGGGCCTGTTGTCTCCTTTAGGTCAGTTTTCTGCTTGGGTTATTGTTCAATTCGCCTAAATTGTGTTAGGGTTTAATAAAGAAAGCACCTTTCTCCAAACAACAAATAGAGAAGCCTAAAAAAACTGTGAATTTTTCTCTCCTGATTCAGATTAGTTACCGATAGAGAAACCGGTAAACCAAAAGGCTACGGGTTTTGCGAGTATAAGGACGAGGAAACAGCATTGAGTGCTCGTCGTAATCTTAAGAGTTACGAAATCAATGGCCGTCAATTAAGAGTTGATTTTGCCGAGAATGACAAAGGAACTGACAAAACCCGTGATCAGGTTTTTACTTCTTCTGCCACTGGTTTTGTTATTTTTAACGATTTCAAGCTACGAGATGTTGGATACTGAAGCTTTCATCTCAATAAGTTATAACTAAAGATGGTAAATTTTGGATTTCAGGGTCAAGGAGGACCTGGCTTGCCTTCTGCTACTGGTATGTTTTGTTTCAGTCCCTGAACCACAATTGTCTTTAGACAAACAGAACTTATCGTTGTTTTTATTTCTTCCGGCTGTTCAGTGACAGAATCTCAAAAGCAAATCGGAGGGCCTGGAGATTTGAATATACATCAACCGGTTGGTCTTCACCTTGCCATAACAGCTGCATCTGTTATGGCCGGTGCGCTAGGTGGTCCTCAGGTCGGTTCGCAATTTACACAAAGTGCACTGCAGGTTCCATCTAGTGATCCCCTGACTCTTCATCTTGCCAAGATGTCTAGAAGTCAGCTCTCTGAAATTATATCGTCCATTAAGGTGTGAATATGAACATGGGTTATTCCTTCAGTTATTTATTAACGCATTGTTGAACTATTGTGAACTAGTGGTATGATGTGATTGTGTTTCTTAATGGTCAGGTTATGGCTACACAGAATAAGGAACAAGCTCGACAGTTGTTGGTTTCAAGACCTCAGTTGCTAAAAGCTGTTTTCCTGGTACTTACCCATACCCCTGATTCTGAAAATCATTTAAGTCTCCTGCACTCTTTGCTGATATTCGTATAAGTTAGTTGTTGGTGATCCATGGGAAATAGGAGGGAACAATCTGTTTTAGTTCCTTTGTAAAGACTGTCCTCCAGAAAGATGTATATACACTCTACACTTTCAGTTTTTTTTTTTTTTTTTTTAACTTTTGAATTCTACGGACTGTAAGTGTTTACATTCCCATCTACTGTTTTATAAATTTCGCCAACCCTTGACCTTTATTGCTCCTCAACTAGCTGTGAAATGTCTCGTCAAGGGTGTATTTACTGTTGTATGATCTCTCATTTTTCATTATTGACAAATAGCTCTTTTTACACATTCTTACACCATCTTTTGAACCTATACTTTGTCTACTATTGTAGGCACAGATACTGCTTGGGATTGTGAGTCCACAAGTCGTAAGTTTTCCATCTTAATGAACAGTTTTTGCTTATTCCTTCTCTATCTATCTCTTAAGAGGACTCTTGCCATTCTTGACGTGTGCAGTTGCAGACGCCAAATATTGTTCAGGCCGCAAATCATATGACAGGATCTTCAATTCAAGACACACAACTACCTGGTCAAGTATCTAGTCAAAACCTTTTACCACCACTGGCACAAAGGTCGCAGCAGCTAAGTCGCCCTCCCCATAGTCAGTTTCCCGTTCAACAGCCTTCTAAACAATCTTTTAGTCAGATTCCACAACTAGTAGCACAACCAGGTCCTTCTTCCGTGAATCCTCCTCCTAGATCCCAAGTTAAAGGTCTCAGCGAAACCGCTCCATTCCAACGCCAAAAACAAGTGGTTCCAGCTTCCACCAGCATAGGTTATAATATTCAGACGTCAGTTCCGAATAATGCTATCCAGCCATCTCAAGTACCTCGGCCACCATTAACAAACTCTGTGATGCAGGTGAGTTTCGACAATACCTTTTGTTTTAGAGAACGAAGCCATTGTAATAGAAAGTTCAAAAGTCTTTGCATAGTTGAGCACCATATTATTCAAGTGTCAACATTCGGTGTTAGTAGTGCACACACCAAAGGACTGGTATGGGTTAGTTACCATCTTATACAGGGAAATTTTATTGAAAGTTGAATATGAGTTGCTAATGTGGTCAAAGGGAAAAATTCACATATGTTTTGGTTTTCAAGTTAATAATCAAACTTCAGATATATAAGTAGAAAGCATATTGAAGGGCGTTTAGTAGACTATATTTGAATTACTTTCTTTCTCTTATTTATTGTTTCTAGTTTTTCTCTATCAATTACTTCACGTCTGTATTAAAATACTTTACACAGCAAGGTGGGCCAACCGTATCACTAAATTATGGCAAAAGAATAGACAATGAGGGACCGCATGAATCAATTCAGAGACCATCCAAGATGATGAGAGTGGATGATAGGAGAAGCGCTTCATTCCATGGAGGTCATGCGTCTAACTCAATGCTTCCAAATCCAGTACAACTTCAAGAGAAAGCGCCTCAGGTATTTACAATTCACATAATTTGGAAGCTTTAACTGGATGAGAAATCAATCACAAACGCCCTAATGAATCTACTAATTTGCACATCCTTGCTCCGTGATTGATTCTCTTTCTTTAGACACATCTCTCCCAAGATGTTCAGTCAACGTTGCTCCAGCAAGTAATTAACCTTACGCCGGAACAGCTGAGGATGCTGCCCCCAGAACAGCAGCAAGAGGTCATAAAGTTGCAACAAAGGCTCAAGCAAGACCACATGATGCAGCCTTTATAGCATTGAGGTTGTTGTCTTATAGGCCATGAATCTCACCTGTCTTAAGAGCTGCTTTGTTTTTCCTTTTTCTTTTTGTTTATCAGTGATATTTAATCTAATTCTCGTTCGGTTTCCTCCCTCTTTTATCCACAGGGGTAAGCAACTGTGTCGGTGGGCTTCATTTGATTGAAACTTGCAGAGATGAAAATGTTTTTCGCACGCAGATACGATAGGAAAAGAGAAGCCCCTCTCACCTAAATTGGTGAGTGATTGTACTTGTAGTGTAGCATTTATTTGTGATGAGTTTGTCTTATAGAAGAACTGGCCATCAAAATATAAAAGAAAAGAGAGTTACAAGTTGAAAAAAAGTCTCCGAGTCCTCCTCTATCTTTCTCATTCTCTCTTTTTTATTTTTTCTGCATTACCTACAATGTCCTCGTTCGGTTTTAACTTTTTATTCTATGGCCTCTGGTGTTTGATCATTGGCGAAGATTTTACTACTTCAGTGAATAAACGTTTTATTTCTTTACTATACAAGAATTACGTCTAAGCTTATAAATAGGCGGGGTAAAAAGATGAAAGATCATTTTTTATCTACTAATTAAAAAAAAATTGTTAAAAACATTGATTAAATGTGTATCTTTTGGCTGCCGAAAAAAAAAATGTGTATTTTTTTGGCAAAGTCAATTAACAATTTTGTTTAAATTTGTGGTTAAAATTTAAAAGGCGGATTTACTGTTTCTCATAATAAAATATAAAATAGTGCAAAATGGAAATTACAATATTTCCGTTTGAAAATTTAAAATCACAGTTATATGAATAAAGTAAGCAGTCTTTAATAAATTTTAAAGCATTTGTAATCATACATCAAAGAAACATCCTACGAATGGTTCTAGCGAAAGCCCGAGACAACAATCTTCCAACCAAGTCACCTGGCAATTGAAGCAACCGCTGTTGCGACTCTTGTGGAAGCTGCCAACATTCATTCCAACACCCCCCAAAAACACAAGTCAGGACAGTTTTTGAGTCTTTAATCAATAGAATTATCGAGTATGATTTGCAAACATTTGAAAGAGTTATGCAGACGTGTTACCTCAGGTAAGATGGAGAGAATCGGGAGCATCTCTTGAGCTGATGGAAGCTGATACATTACAAGTGATGCTTCGTCTAGAGGCGTGAGTGCCTCACCATATTTACTAACCGCTTTTACTTGCTGCAAGATTTTTTGATGCGCAAACATTAACGATAAGAAAATAACAACAAGCAGAAGGAAAAAGAGGAATTTCTTACCGTGCTTACCGTTTCAGCCCGCTGCATCCCTGAGAACAATGAGATGAGTCGAGAGAAAGTTCTTAGGTTTGACATGTCTTCTTCTGTCAAGGAGTTTAATGGCCTTGAACCAGAAAATGGCATAGTCGTAGAAGCAACAGATGTGAAAGAATCCAACGTTGCCAATCCAAATGCATCAAGACCCTGTTGCATAATAATAATAATAAGCAACAAACTTTTGATCAACAAAGAGTGTGACATTTTAGGCAAATGATTAGTGCAAGGTATTAATCGTTATTTGGTTTCAATATATGCCAGTTGGTTTCTTGGACACCCCTCGATTAAAATGTTTTTTTCTTTATCGAACAGCTGATAAGGCATTTCTCACCTTAGCGAATTCTCCAAGAAGGATTTCTCTTACAAAAGAACCCTGTTCAATGTTCCAAGATTTTAGTACTTGTAACTTTAGTTTTATAATTGGCAGTACGAAAAACTACGGCATATATATATATATATATATATATATACCTGCTCCGTAAAAGTAAAAGCTAGTATTTGCTTCATAGCGATCTTATTAGAGTCTGTGCCCACCACTGGTTTCTGAGCTAATGCCGTCTCTGTCCTAAGAGACTGAAGAAAGTGGATGTTGATAACAAACCAAATGCATATTCTTTGTTATTTAAACAGCCAAACCCTAAAACACCCAAGCCAATCATTTCCCACTGCCATAGACTTGCTCGAGCATAGGACAATTTTTTTTATAATATTCACCCAAATCATCATGCAGATTTCAGTGTCTTTGGTTGGCTTTTAGGCCGTATAGTTGTATGATTACTCAGCTGTTTACTCACTAATTTACCAAATTTACCATTGAACACCACGTAGCCCACAGCAATTTAACCCAAATACGTACAGCCCCAAACCAAAGACACAAGCTCAGCAACAAAGAAGGAAGCTGACGCACTAATGTACAAGAAAAAGACGTAGTGGATTCAGCAACCCATAGATAGTCCAACAGCGAAAAGAGATTAAATCCAGTCTCACCTCGGTAAGCAAAGACTCAAGACGGTCAATTCGGAAAACACCTTCCTGGCAGAGACACAAATCAAGGATAGCAAGTTCAGAAAGAAACAAAATGAGAAATGTGGATGTCCAATCTTCTTAGACAAGATTGTTTAGTACCTCATACAAAAGAGACTGAAGAGAACTTTTCAGCTGTGGAGAGCTGTCAGTTAGAATTTTTCTAGCGATCCAAGGGTATGTACTGCCCAAAACCTTGTAGTTTGGGCTTATACCAATGGCAATCCCCTCCAAGACAGCAAGGCTGGGAATCAAAGATGAGAAACCAGGAATTATGTGAATGCTGTCTCAGTAGACAGAAAAAGACTAATCACGCATAAGCCATGGTTGAGAGAGTAATCATGTAGGATAGTTTAAATTAAGCATTTAACGCATAGACCAGTTGGACCCAACTATAGCAAAAACTCAAACTTAAAAGTTTGAGAAATCTCAACAGCGCAAAACAAGAATGTTCATCATATCAGAAAAGCGGCTGGAGGCCAATACAGCCAAAAATGTAAAGTACCTGCGGATAACGAGAGAAAAATAGGGGGGTATTCTGAATTTGAATTGGTACCTGAAAGTTTGACAAATTAATATCAGCATCTAATAAGTAAGCGCAAAAAATACAAACAAAGTTCTTTCAAATGACCCTCTCCGGGTCAAATTTTAATAGACAGTATATAGTTTAAGTACAAGTGTTACTACATAGTTTTTCCTAAGTCGCCAATGAGGTCACCAAAGCTTATATTGCGAACTCCTCTGGAAATTGCATTCTGAAAAACATCTGCAGACAGAGGAGGCAATTGTTTCAAGAAAGCACAACCAATTTTTTTATAACAAAAACATACCTGCATAATAACACTCTTTTCCAAACTAAGGCCAAGAACGAACCTGTTAAAGCCTTCGTCACAGCGCTCTTTTCAGCTGTTGGTGGAAGAAGCCTATAGAAGTTTTGCAGATAAGATTAGGAAATGTCAACAGTTGAAAGTTCAGATTCAGATAGACACCAACGACCAGAGTACCCCAGAGTTACAAAGTCTTTAGCCAGCGCTTTGAAGTCACGATTTACTAGATGAAGACATGCTTCCATGAATCCATCACGTAATTCTGGCCTAAAGTCCCCCATCATACCAAAATCTGGCAGCAAAACAAGCTAAAAGTTCAATAACTTATAAACAAAAGATAGTTCTTAGGACAGTAAACTACGTCTTTAGTTTGTAGACATAAAACCCAAGCATATCTATATCTAGAGAGGCAGAAAAAGTCCCAATCTTCATATCTGGAAGAATGGAAAATTATCACAAACATAGCGGATAAGTTATAGCATAATAAATTAAAAACCATTACCCAAAAAGTTACAGAGGGGTTCATGTTTCTGGTTAATTCACCGTATGATCAGATACGTTAGATGATACACAGGTAATCTACTACCAGAGCATTCAGTGAGTAGTCTCTTTTCTTTGAACGAAGTAACGAGTATACAAAAACATTATCTGGCGCATGGAATGCAGCATGATAACACATGGAGTTAGTATTGAGATTGAGGAATACCTAAGTATGCAAGTTGGCCATCGTATGTGCGCAGAAAATTTCCAGGGTGAGGATCGGCATGGTAAAATCCGTACTCCAGAAGTTGATTAAACGAACAGTAAACGCCAACCTCAACTAAGTAAAGGTCATTAACTTCAGCAAGCTTTTGACCCTGCAGTGACACAGAAAGTAGACTACATGGAATTACTATGAGCTTAAAGATATATAGAACTCCTTTTGACTGAGGAAAGCCATAACAAACATATACAACTAGTTGACGCAAACCAGAAAAATAATTTTTATTGCGAATGTCTAACTTCATACCTCCACCCACTCCATCACAAGAACTTTTCTGGTACTGTACTCTGTGTACATCTTTGGAACCAAAACATCTTTGATGCTACCATACAGCTTCCTATTCAAGAATACAGAATGTTACTTTACAGAATTATTGAAGATTTAACCATTAGATGAGCTAATAATGTTCTAGACAAAAATATAATGTTTGTCCAAGTACCAAGCTTAAGCAAAAAACCACATGATCTATAGCTCAGATTATTGATTTATAATGGAGCTACAATGTTAGTCATAGCCATAACATAATATAGGAGATCAAACAAGGCGAACAAGACTCAAACCTTAGCCGGCTTTACCTAAATTTTATTCCGTTTTGTGCTTCTTTCAAGTAATCCATCTCCTGCATTCAATGTGATTTACCTGTATTCAATATAAAGCTCTAAGATATTCCCCGAACAAGAAAATTTTAAATGCAACAACCAGTCCATCTAAAAGATCTTTCCAATACATTAAAGAAATCGTAAAAAATCTGTCCATTTTTCACACAATAGCTAACATGGAATCTATCATTATTTTACAGCATCACATTAAACCATTGAATTTCATTTTACACGGAACAGAAAAGCAGGATTGCATAAAGAGAAACAGTCTGGAATTCTTTTTCGTCTATGACGGAAAAAAGAAGCATCAAGAACTTACCAATTTTGCAAAGTATACTCTATGTATCAGAAAAAAAAACGTCAACGCAAAACATGGAAAGCGACTTTTGATAAGAGTGTATGCTTTACCTTAAACAGGCTTGTTGCCCATTCATCAACAACTGCCTGCAAATGGAATTTCACAATTTAGCATTGGAACGGTTAACAGTACACTCTGACTAACTTAAGCTTCAATTATTCTCTCAAGTTATCCAAATTATATAAAAATGGTATACTAGAACCCTCTGAAATGGATATTAGTGTACGTTTCAAGTTTCAACACATTTTAATCTGCAATTATCAGTTCAAAGGAAGGCACAGGTTTCACGTCACCTGGAGATCTGAGTTGAATCTCCCAGCCTTTTTAATCAAACCCGCTATATATCGCAGAATCAATGTGTCCAAAGCAATAGCAGCTCGTACACCAGGCCGCTGCACTTTGACAGCAACAACCTCTCCCGTTCTACGAAGCCTAGCTTGATATACCTGAAATGTAGACCAAAG